CAAAAAGTTTACATCCTATAATTGCCCAAGCAGTGAGACAACATGTCTGTGACGGTTTTCTCTCGCCTGTGCATTTGTATAAAGAGATTATAKTCTTGTCATGTAATTAACATTTGTGCTTTATTTCATCTAGGCCTACCAGGGTCTCATGGAAAGTGTTCGACAAGGCGCCAAGTTGGGACTATCTGAATGCAAGAACCAGTTTATGAMCGAAAAGTGGAACTGCAGCGTCTCCTTTCGAAACAAACGACTAACTGAGATGCCAATATTCGCCCAGTCAAGTCTTCCGTTAGGTAAGTTTAATGATATTGTATACAATTTTAAGCTTTTTTTTCCCTTTAATTGTGACATTCATTTGTGATTTCATTAAAAAGTTTAACAACTTTTCATTTGTCTATCAGTTTAATAACTCATTTATAAAACTGATAATTTTTTTCATGTTTTCAGTCATCAATATACCTGTTTAGATCAGTTTGCACATACGCATTGCATTACTGGGTAAAATACATCCTCCATCTTAACGTGATTCTAATGTGAATTTATTCCTTGTATTACAGCTAATAARGAAACAGCGTTTGTCCATAGTATCAGCGCCGCTGGTGTTACGTACCGTCTGACCGAGGACTGCCGAAGAGGAAAGTTTGAGAACTGCGACTGCGTCCAGAATAAAAAGTCCAAGAAAGACTGGGGTGGCTGTAACGATAACGTTCGGTTTGGTGACATCTTGGCCAGACATTTCCTGGACGCCTTAGAGAAGAACAAGAAAGCTAGAAGCGCCATGAATCTCCACAACAACCAGGTTGGACGCAAGGTAAATATTTCTGTGTGTAATTATGCATAAGTGATTTTCACAGTAATTGCATGATAATCAGCGAATGATAATAATCATTACAAGGTGAACATCCACAATCYGTTAAAGTTGAATAGTAAAAAAATTAATTCTAAATTATTGCTTTGCTTTTTATTGTATAATGAAAACTATTTTGTAGTAATTTGGTTTAAGTGCGTCAATTTTGGAAAGCTATTTTGCCCTGCTACAATTTGAAAATTGCGCATGGTTTTGAGTTGTATGTCCTCAATCACACACTCTTGGTATATCATAGAATTTTCAAAACTTTGCAGTGAACAAACTTGAGTTTTGAACATTTTATAACCTCAACCGTGCGCAATTTGTCTAAAAATTAGTTAGTAAGTGAAGGGGATGTAGATATTTAAACATTGAGCAAAATGAAGTGTATTTCCCATGTCAGTTTACTCATGTTTTCTTGTTCATCTTCCAGGCTGTCAAAGCCACCTTAAAGAAAGAATGCAAGTGTCATGGCGTCTGCGGCAGCTGTTCAACCAAAACTTGTTGGAAACAACTCGCTCCCTTCCCTGAGGTCGGCAAGTACCTGAAAGAAAAATACCTCAAAGCCAAAGCCGTCTTGATCAAGAACTCCAAACTCATGCAGAAAGTCARCCTGGTCCCAGTCCCCAAAAAAGAGCGCAGCCTGGTCTTCATTGATTCGTCTCCAGACTACTGTCGTTTCGACGCAAGCACTGGTTCCCTTGGTGTCCTGGGTCGAGTGTGTTATAGTGATGAMCCCAATTATAATAGATGCAATGATATTTGTACTTCATGCGGTTATAAGCTTAAGAAAAAATTAATCGTTCGTTCGGTGAAATGTGATTGTAAGTTCGTTTGGTGCTGTAGTGTTCAGTGTAAGAAATGTATGAAACTTGCTGCCATGACAACGTGTCACAGATAATAGCCTCATCCTTAATATTGATATTGAACAAATTTTCTACATAGAAACATAGCAGATGAATTCGTTTGCTGTAATTACAACTTAATTTTCTCAGGTTTAGAATAATTATTGGTAACGAGTGAAGCTATTAAACCCGTGAAACAAAAATTGACATTTAAATTGCCACAATAGACACAAAAGAAAACGATGGAATTAGAGCTTATTAAGTCCACTATTAGTGTGATATCTATTTCACGGATTTTTAACTTCACTCTAGTCGAATGTAAATAGCTTGTACAGTAATCAGTAGATAGAATTACAACCAATTGTAATTTTTCTTGTAAATAATAAATTTTTTTAAAGATATAAGAGTAATCCTTGTCTGATATAGGGGAGAGTCAAGTCTCCGAACTTTATTCCTCAAGTCTGCCTTTGTTACTAGATGTAGCTTGATTCAACTACAAGCTGGAATGCTTTACTGAGAATAGATCTCTACTGGTATTTACTAATTAGTATATTTATAAATATACCTTAGTACATAATGATCTTCTGGAATTTTCCTTCTGATACTTAATTAAGTAAGAATGCGCGTAAGAACTAGGCAACTCTCTTTGTTGTTCTGCTGCAATTGCAACTTCTCCACATACGATGGCGCTCTCTTGAACAGCGCCGTGCAGACAGCCGTCTCACAACTCTATTCAAAATCACCAGAGGCCTCCTCTCTGTCGACACAAAAGGTYTACTGCKCYCTGYAACTCGACAGACTCGGCGCACTCATGCTGAATCGTTCATCCCCTTGTGCACCCCAACAACATCTGAACACTTATCTTTTTTTCCAAGAACAATAATTCAATGGAACAATCTGCCTGCCTCTATGTTCAATAATCTGTCCTCACTGACTGTTTTTAAAGAAAAATTAATCTGTTTAAATCACCTCCCTGTAAACTAAATTTGTTATRCTGAYCCCCCAGCCATTAATCCTCGTTTGTGAGGGGCAGGCTGTATTGGTAAATAAATAATAAAATAAAAGAATACGAATTCAATAGGCAATGCATGTGCAGCGACGCCATTTTGTGCAGCAAAGCATGATGGTAGTTGTAGTCCTCGCACTTTTCATAGCCCCTGAAATAACTCTTTAAAAGCCGTTTTTGGCAATTTCTTTTTAGAAACGTCACAAATAAGTCTATTGTTGCTTAGAAAAAAGCATTGTTTTCAAGCAGAGTTTCAAGCGATCGCCCCATAATTCAAAGCAAAATCATATCTTTCTCCTTACCACACATTTTCGCACATTTGTTTTTGTGAAGGTGTAAATACCGTTCCTGAACTTAATTGTTTGCTAAAACGTTTTTCAATTTTGTCATTTTAATACTCTAAACAATTAATTACATCATTGGTATAAATTACGACTGTATAAGCGTCGCAAATTCAATGCATTCCCTCCCCCTCCATGGGGGAAAAATCCCTTATAAAAGTTGGTAGGTATGATCGATGATCATTTTAGGGTTGAAAATAAAGCCCTCGCGCACCTTTTAGGGTCCTGAGCTGACTCCGTACCTTTTAGGGTCAAAATGAAGAAGTGTTATAAAGAAATAGATTATATTAACCTCAACAATCTATCGACATTGATTTTCTACAGTTTGTTAAACTTGAGCATTTCTCTTGATAAAGATCTCAAAAATGGTCGTACCTTTTAGGGTCTGGAATCGATACCTGAGTTAATTTATGCGTACCTTTTAGGGTCATTTTTCAATCCGTCCRTCGAGCATACCTACCAACATTTATAAGGGAGTCCTCCCCCCGGGATTTCCCCAAAGTTTTTATTTAAATATATTATTTCTGAAAATAGCTAGACATACGATGTTATTACATTCTATATACGATGTTATATTGTTTATATTCTTTCATCAGTTTTCTGATTCTCTACAGTCAACATGTCCTCTACTTTTTCTTGCACCATTCAGCAAAATGCTTACAGTTGTTAGTCAGCAAATTATATTCATTTGTCCCAAGTTTAGAGATTGCTCTTTCGCATACTTTTTCAGGCTGCTCGCAGGCATCTTCTTTATAYATGACTTTATAAAAAGGCGGCTTAAATTCAATCTGCTCTTGTCTTACACCAAACTCATACGTGTTGTGAATGACGTTCACCTGGTTGCTTTTGTCATCGTGCCATAACACTATGCAGTGGTGTCTTGGATGGGCAACATTACCATAGAACACGATATGGTCTCCTAGATGTAGCTCGTCAATGCTTCTAACTGCTTTGTCATCGGGTTTAATCATTTTCGTCACAGCCTCACCAACATGGGGTCCAATCCACGTGCCTACAATTTTCCCTACGACTGCTCCAATTGTACCGACCAGTATCCCGGTTACGCCCGGCAATAGCCCTCCTAAGGCTGCAGGCACTGCTGTAAGTATTGCCTCAGTTACCCTCTTTGCCGCTTCCTCCATGAATTGTTTCCTCGTTAGCTTCCCCTCTTTTCTTGACTTGTAGAGCTCTTTMAGGTCATAAATTGTAAAACATCCCTCGATGAAGACGACGAGACCAAAACCAACCCATTGACAGTTATTAGCAATTTTCTCAAACGTTTCAGCAGCRGGAACTTCAAAACTAGCCTTCGCAATTTTCATTGCAGCTTTTTTACCAAGTTTGACAGTCAAATCGCTTAAGGCTACTTTAACTCGATCTTCCAAAGCTTTCACTAAGGAGATGACTTGCTGACTTCTCGCTATTCCCTTTTTGCAATACGTAACGAAGGCTTCACAATTGTCTCCAAAGAATTGGTAGKCACTATCTCCTAATCTTGACCGGGCYCTGGCGAGGACTAGTTGKAGGGGGTTCTGCTGTAGATGTTCTTTCTCATAGTCCATACGGTACAGCGTTCCCWTTTGATCWTTTAAGGCGACCCATTCTTGAGTTATTCGGCAATCTGMAGGTTTATTCCCATGCCAGTGGATTACTTCAATTCTTCCACTTCGGGGTTCAACATTTACGACCAAGGCGTGGTGCCAAATGATGTATGGTCTTTTCCAAGCTATATGGTCACCTGGTTTCAAGTAATCCCCAGCCAAATGTATATTTTCTATCTTTGTCTTTTCAGGATGCACCATATGTACAGCAGCATCTACTTGGTCAAGTCGTTCGGCCTGAAAGAATTGCTCCTTTCCCAGCTGCAGTAATTTGTTGGTTTGATCTAAGGGAGCATCATCCAGAAAGAAATCTTCTTTGAGGTATTCAGTTTYGCASTTCAAGCAGAATGYACCCAGGAGTTCTCCATTGACGTTAATGTAATGCCTGAATTTGACAGCATCACGGTTACCACACACACACATCACACCGTTTGCAAGCTGTACTGATCCTGCCATGGTTAGATTCTAAAATATAACAAGAACAAAAATAAATAAAACAAGCAACATCAAAAATATATAAAAACAAAATAGGTTGAGTGGGTTGGGTGTGGTTTTGCTATTTTTGAAAAAGACAAACCATGTATATGCATTGGCTTTGATGAGTATATAACCCTTTTAGTGCTTAGAAAACAAGTTGTGCGAATGGCCTGTGAGTTTGCAAAATGCAAAGCGTCCCGGCTACAATCAAAAACTATCATAGTGCCATGCGGTCTTCATATTCATATCTTTACATTATCTGGGTGATTGATTTGCGACCAGGCCTGCATATGAATTCGCCTAGGTTGTAAGCCAGTGAGCCCGTGCATTTTTGTTAAGCGGTCATATTTGAAAGTGTAAATAAAGAAAAGGGAAAACCCGAAGCTCGCCTTTCATTCAGACAAACAGTACAAGTCGTACTGAATTTATTTACATAACTAAACAAAATGATTATAGAAATAAACTT